GGCCATTTTGCTTGTAGGTACTGTTCCTCCCTCGGCGCCCCTGCTCTCCCCAGTCAGGTGACCTAAAATTGCCCCTTCTAGGGACAATAGTTAACTTTAACCCACGGTTCGCGTTCGAGAAAACGGGCCCTGGATGAGCATCGTACCGGCGTGCGGTCGTGTATCACTACTGCGTGATGCACGTTAAAGACCCCAGGCTAGCGGTTGTACCGCACTGGCTAAATTTCTCATCTACAGCTGGGAGACTCGTCGCCCCTGTGAGGCAGACCAAGTTCTAAGCTGTATAAACACACACACAACCAAATTTTTTTTTTTTTTTTCAAGCGCAAGTCGGTGCCACATGAGCGCTGCTTCCAGCGCCCTTGGGGCGCTAACTTAGCGCTCAGCTGTATGTGTGAACCGGCCCTTATACTGTCCGCTTACCAGCGGGCAGTATAACAAGCAAAAGATTTTGCGCAATTTTTCGTTTTGTTTTGGTGGCCTGAGTCCTTGAGTTTAACTTTAGCGTTTCTTTCACATCACCAAACTTCTCGTGACCCGTCAGGAAAAAGCTGTGGTGCCACCATATTGCCCCATATTACAACATCTGATGTCATGTCTACAGTGTTTCTAGTAAAGAGCCCCTCAGCCTCTCAAGCCAAATAGGTCGTATGCGTCTCTTTATGTCTTGAACCAATCTTGAGGCAAATCAAAGACCATCGATATTTCGCCGGACTCAACTTTAAGGAAGCGCTCGATTAGTATCATCTGTAGGCTGTGTGCAGGGCACGTAGTAAGCAGCGCGCATATTTTGTATGTCATTGACTGCAGAGTGGTCAAAGATAAAGATTATATCAGCGACACCAACGCCGGCCGCCCGGCACTGCTAGGACCCGCGTGCTCGAAATGTGCCATTGGAATGAGTACATACACACATAATGTTTTCTGTGTTTACCTTTCAGTGTCGTAAACACGGTGAACTGTTACGCCGTTTGCTCGAGTACACCACGTACACTGCTCAACATTGGTGCGCAAACACAACATAGGCGGGTTTTTTTTTTTCTATTCGGCGTTGCAGACATTAAATATATTCACTTAAAAGGGTAGGGAAACGAAATTGTTTTCTTATCTTTTGCTTAGATGTGGTCTATGTTGTAGCGGCAGCCCCCCAAAAAACTAGTTTAGTGTTTCTGGGTTGCCGACAGAAAAGTAAAAGAAAAATAATTGTAGAACGAATTAATAGATTTCAAGATTGCGCCTGATGGAGGTTTGCGAAGCTCCGTTGGAATGCCGCCATATCATCGGCCTCTTAGAAGCAGCACCAGTTCGCGGCAGTATGGCTCGCCTGAATGTGACTTGGCGGAGAACGCTAACGCGTTTAATACGATGTAAATGTTAAACCTTACAGAATAATTCCGCAACGTGCATTCCATACCATCAAAGTCGCCGTTCTAGCAGACGTTAAGTAGTAGCTTACTCTCATAATGCGGGGCCGGGGGCGCCAAACAACCCCCCCCCCCCTCCCCCACTCCCCCCCCCCACCCCCCTTGCCCCGGGATGCGCTGTGAACAACGTGCTCAAGCATGGCCACCCAGTGAATACCGTATATTCACAGCTTGCAGGTGTCGCCATTGTCGGGTATACTGACGGTTCTTTCTACTTGCTGGTTCCCTCGAGCTGCGGTGTGAAACTAACCAGATGAATCGAACGCTCGTGGCACACAAAATACTGACATGGCCGCGAATGACGTTTCGGGCAACCTATGTATAGTCCATAGGGCGTACAGTCCTCGGATATTCCTACTAGGCGAGATTGTCACGCGTTGACGCCACCAAGTGGCAACGTTCGCAACTACAGTACACTTGGCCTTGCAGAGGCCCTTCACGTCAGGAGCGCTATACGCACTGCGCTTCTCGCTGGTCGTTTTTTGAGCGAGAGGTAGGGAGCTCGCGGGGAAGTCATTTCGTTTCCGTGCTCCCTTGAGGTTCGGCTACTCCCGACATAGCAGCGATTGATCACGAGCCACCAACCGAATGCGTGTCGAGGCAATTGATGCTCACGAGCCCAAATCGTATGCTCACGCAATGCTTGTGTTCGTACGAGCCGCCTTTATTAGCGGCGAGATGTTTTGGTGGCGCCCTCCTATGGTTTCCACGCGTGACGTCATTACCTTACGAACAACAAATTCAACGGTGTTTATAATTAGAATGGTGGAAGCTTGAGATAATTACGCTCTGAAACCAACTCTGCCAACACCGTCAAAATGGCAGTTCTTACATTACTCTTATTTCCGTCGATGAGAAATCCTTTGCTGATGTCATAGTCAGCATTCCGCCAATCGTGGAAGGCCGACAACAGCGACGCTTTTGATTGCGCACGTCGCCAATACTATATCGTTACCGCGCGGATCGCAAAGATTGATGACGAAATCCTGAAAATCTCATAGTTGGCATCGCCGACAATGCTATCAAATTTTGCGAAGGAGGCACTGAAAGTAAACGCCCGCTTTGAATCCTCGAAGTTACTCGGCAACAAAGAAGCTTATTGGTTAGTGGCGTCGCGTGCGAGTGTACTTGGGTCCCACTATATTGTGCTATTGTAAGCTCGTGTAAAGTGAGAAATATTTCTACCCAATGTCGGCACGGCCCCTTTAAGCCGCAGTCGCACTCCCCATACATCGCACAAAGGCACGGTGTTCACTGTAAACATTGATGTTAGAATTAACCGCGAAAACGCCCGAAGCATCATCGAAGCCCGTTTGCTTCATACCTATGTATGCTTCAGACTTGTCCGCAGACAGTTCTTCCGTGATTAATTTGACCGTCACGCGAGGAAGAAGCACGTCACAAACAGTGTCTGCAGGCTGCCTTTTGTCAGCAGTTTTGACTGCTGCTTCAAGCTAGTGCACTAGGTGAACAGTTCCCACCATCATAGAAGTTTAAATGAGAGATCATTTATGTTATGATAAAAAAAGATAGAAAGAAGAAAACCCGGCAAACGCTCGTTCGCGCTGAAGGCGTCACGAAGAGAAGATAGTTAGCAGCAAATACTCGCTAAACACCAAGGTTTTGACAAAAGGGCCGCGTCTCGCCGCTGTTACAGGATGAAATGGGGAACCAGGGAGGCATTTTGATCATGTTTTTTCAATCTCCAATGCGCGCCGTAAGTTTTGTTCCATGTCCCTCCTGATCAGAGCTCGCGTGATTTTTTTTTTTTTGTTTTTTTTTTTTCGTATCCGAGAATATGCGGAGTTTGTTCCTACACGCAGGGAGAAACAGAGTAACCACCTGTGCTGAGACAACTTCCTGTGCTTCCTTGCTACGCATTGTTTCCGCGTTAAATAAATAAAAAAAAAGCGAGAGAGTTTAGAGACGCACTTTCGCTCTCATTTAATTTTTTCGTACACGGGGATCCAGGCAGTCCGGGTGTATCTGAAACTAGGCTAAGAATCACTCGCGAAATCAGTTCATTGTTTCGTACGGAATCGTTTCTAAAATTGGGGCAGTTGGGGGGGGGGGGGGGGGGGGGGGTAGCATGCGTTCACGCCGCGCAGAAAAAGAATAAACTTTCCTGAAACCGAGGTGCTCGTTCAACGTCATTTTAATAGTAGCTCCATCGCAGAAAACCGTTGCGAAAACAAGCGAAGAGCTAGAAGCGAAATGGGCCTTCCCGCCTGGATATAGAGAGCGCGCTCCATCGATGGCTGTGTTCGGAAATAAATCGGCGATCGTTCACGAGATTTACAAGTAGGCGAACGACTCGGTTAACCCTCGTCAGCAGGCCCTTTATTTTATCTTCTTCTTTTACCCATCGAGTAGAAAGGAAACAGGGGTGAGGCATTGAGCGATAATTTAAAAGGCCGCTAGACCGCGCACTGAGGATCCATAAATCTCTCTGGCCATCGGAAGCGGCGCAATATAAGCGTCGCTCCCCCCCCCCCCCCCCCCCCCCCTTCCTCCCTCCCATGACCTCACTCTCAGGGCGACGCAGATGCTCCTCTCATTTGTTAATTTCCGAGATCGGTTGTGTATGTGGAAGGCAGCTGTTCAACGCGGGTTTGAACCCCCCGACACCCCATCAAGTTCGCGCGCACGGTGTTGGACCCGAGTTCCCGTGGTTTAGTTTGTGCGAAAGTACGTTTGAGACTGTCTTGTTGCCGATTCTTTTTTTTTTTTTTTTTTTTTTTTACATTCAACGTTTTGTTTATTTTCCATACTCCGTGGAACGCAGCGGACGTTACGAGCCACCAGCTAATCCAATGCTGTGAATGTAGCTCGTGGTTATGTGCCTTGCGTCTTGCCACGCCCGTCTCGAAGATCACGTGGCACTTCAACACAGCATTTAATTGGCTTAGCTGACTCATAGCGCCCGCCGCGGTCCATCGTAATGTGAGACCGAGTAACTTCGCTGTTAGAAAGGGGTGGGCTGGCTCATAAAGGAAGCGGTTTTATAGGAAACCGCGTGGTTCCCATGCTGTCCATCCGTCCGTTGGCTTCGACGTGCTGTGCGCTGCTGCGGTCAGTGCGGCCTTGGCCCGTCGTGCAGACGGCCGCGTGTCGTTGGGTCCCGTCGTTAACCCGAGTGATTTATGGGCTGAGCTGAGTGCGCTTTAAGTGTCTCGCGATGGCTGGTGCTCGGGCTGGTATACATGCGGCGACTCTCTGTGAAGGGCAGCCGGTCAATGGATGGACGCATGAACGCTGCACTCGCACTGTGTACGCCCCGGCGTTTTTATGCCGGTGTGTTCCCGCTGCCCACAGCGGATGTGGGGGTTTCCCGGAGTTCGTTTGTCTCTCAATGTGGGAAGCAGTTTTGTGGGGGTCATCCAGTCTCCTTGGCGGCGTGTTTGGCGGTGGCAGTGATGGAAAAGGGGGAGGGACCGTTTTTCTTTCTTGTCCGGCACCATCTTAATGGCTTTTGGGCAGTGGGCAGTGTGCGGTTAACCGTCGTTAAGGCTTGACTGCGGCGGCTTTACTGCTAACCGACGACTATTACCCCTTCTCAGAAAGGAATTAACTGACCGTGGTGTGGGGTGTGTATTTTTGTGGTAATGGTTATTAGCCCAATCTGTTTTGTGAGCCGTGATGCAGGTGTGACTGCATGTCGAGCTGACGTAGATGGTTGTTTGAGTGGCGAACATGGCCAACATTGCTAGACATTTTGTTTTAGCTTCATATTGCGAGGATTCACCTAGTGTGTTAGAGACGTCTCATATTGCCGCGCGCGCAGCTAGCCAAGAAGGCAGCGTGCTCGTGGCCGAATGGTTATCGTGCTTGTCTCCCACGCAAAGGGCCGAGGTTCAATGCCTGGGAGCGGTCCTCTTGTTATTTCAGTAAATGTGGCGTTTTGGTGTACTCGAAAATTATGGTGGCATATTTGAGGTCCGAATGTTCTACGCACTGAACCTTTTACGCCGATTGTTCCAAAAGCCCACGCGTGTACATAAGGGGCTCCGCGTGACGATCCGGGGTCAGTCTCGCCCCAGCGCTCGATCATGCTGTTTCGCCGACATCGACGCCTGCGACGCTAACCTTCTTATTTGTTTTAGGCACAAGTTCGCCCCATTAAACGGTTAGTTTCTCCAGTTATTCGCCGCCTCATGATTTGTCATTCGTGACAATATTAATGATTCCAGGAATCATGTGCGTTTGTAAAGGTTGTTTGGCCTTAATACGTCGGTGTAAACGGTAACGGCAACTTTACAGGTGCTACTTGCTGTGGTCAATCCGAAAGGTTATCCAGGAACTGGAAGTGTTTATAAAAGCAGCAACGTTTAGGTTTTGGTAAGTGCTATCAAGTCTCACGATGTTACACTCCTCGGGAATATTATGTTTTTTTTTCATTAAGGTGGGACGAAATTCAAGATTTTCTAAACGCTGTCCATGGGACCCAAAGCGAAGCAATATGTCGTGTTTAAGAATTAAAAGTAGTTGAGGAGTTTCTGGTTAGTATTAAAGAACATTGTATTATTGCCGTCTATAAGTATTTCGGGAAATATTATTTTATGGAGTTGATCGGCTGAAATCGTGCTTTTACCGAGTTTTGCTGAAAACTCACGAAAGAGCTCAAATCTCATGTCCCAGTATGTTTGGGGCGGTATTGACCCACCGCATTATTTATTACCCAAGGCCAGATATAATAAAAAGAAACGCTTGTCGCTGACGAACTTTAGCTTTTTGGCGAGCGGAACAATTTTCAGCGGTCAATGTTTTTACGTTGCTTTTTTTTTTTTAATCAGTAGTTTTTGCCGGTATTTACAAGCTGTATCGGCACGCCGGTGAGTAATCTTTGGTTGGATGTTATCCAAATGCGGCTTTGGATGTAATCTGGATTTGGGTGCGGCGAACTGTACGGAAAGAAACCGGGGGAAAGGAGGAAACGGAAGTGTGCGGGACGTCAGGGGGGCCGAGCTCTGATTGAAAGGATTATAGTGGGTAAACAAAAAGTTTAGATGCTTTCTTTTTTCCTTTTTTTTCTATTTTTTGTTCTCCTTTTATTAGAAAGACAAGAGCATCGTCTGCTGCTCGCGCGTTGTCTCGCGTTCGAACTACGAACGCCTGCATTCGGCGTTACGGTTAGTAAATACAGAGGTAAGAGACTTTTCGTCTTCCGGCTATCCTTCAAATCAGAGCTCAGCGTTCCGACGTCCCTGCTTGCTCTCGTCTCCTCCCCTTCTTCAGTTTGCCTCCATATATAGATCAAAGCGGAGCTTTCCGGCCCTGCGGCGATTTGAGGCTCAGTGGGGGGGCACTTAGCCCGTATCTTCGCCAGGCGTCCGTCAAACGAGCCCCGCGTCTCTTTCCTGCGCACGCCAAGATTGAAAGCGCAGCACCGTCCGCGGCATAACATCGCGCAGTCTATCTCAAAACAGGCCTTCCCAAGACCCGAGAGCCCTGCGGAGCTTCGTGCGGCACGTGATTGAAATAAGACGGCCGCGGTCCATTAAGCAAATTAGACCTCATTTCGGCTGATATCTGGCCGCCACCGACGGCATACAGCCGCACCGATAACGCCGCTGCTGGACTATACCCGCGTGCACGTGCTTGTGCGAAACCCGATGGAGCCTTTTGGCCCGCGGGCCGCGTATCGCGAGACATTGCTCTTTCCAGGAAAATATATACGGTCGTTACGACGCCGTACCTCATGATTTCGGAGACCTGGCTAGTTTCTCGAAAGTCTCGCTGCTGGTTTTGTTTAGGCAGGCGATATGCGAACACTTTGATGTTTAGAGCGAATCTATCTCGAATACGATCATTCGAAAATTTGTGACGGTACTTGTTGAGGGAATTTAAGGCCAATGCCTTTGGCCGTAGGGAAAAGAAAGCGGCCTGAAAGAATAAAATAAACGGAAAGAGAAAGTGGTATGTTAGTTTCGATTGACTACTTGGCGAAAAGAAGAGGTAAATAAACAAATACAACTGTAAACGAACACCATTAAATCGCATGACATTGTTTTAAACTCTTTCGACGTAAAGAACTATAAAAGTTCACCAGATTAAAATGATTTCTCACTAAGTAAGTTCACAACCATCTGGAAACCTAAAATACAGTTTGCAGACAATTGTCTGCAGTTCAAATTTGGGCAGGATTTCAGGTTTCCAGCAAGAAATAAAGTTAGATTTCCTGTTCCATATTCCCGTTTGCGAAAAGTTATACTGTCTTTTTCAGTATAGGCAGTGTCGTGTTTTTAAGTTACCGATGCATATCGGCACGAACAAAATGTCGCAAGCGGAGTTATTCAGGTTATCTCGAGATGAGGGACGCCACCGACGCCGCCGAGCCTGGTATAGATGGCAGGACGACGGCATTGGCAGATTGTGTTAGCACTTCAATATGCGTCCGACAGATGACGCATCGCGATAGACGCGAAAATGCGGTGCCGGCACCGCGGCACCTCGATTGATTATTTCCGTAGAACGATGGGCCATTACCCCACGTACAAATGCAATGTGCACGGTGCTCTGTGAAAGAAACCTTGAATACCAAAGCAAGCAAGCCAAAACACTAGAAGATCGTGCATTACAGAGACTCGCGTCGCGCTGAAGGCGACGTAATAAATTCTTTCGGGAGATTGTCCTCTGAAACCAGGGCCCGGCTCGGCGACCACTACGGGGAAGCTCGGCGCGTATCTTTGGCGGCTGGGGGAGAACGCGTTTAGGGATATACTGACCAGGCTAGTTGAATAGGTAGTCCTGCAGATGCGCCCACGATACCTTCGGCAAATTTGTGATTTCGTTAAAGGAACAATGCGTTTTCTTTTTAACCGTGGGATCAGGAAGGGATGTCGGTAACGAATAAGTAAATATCGGGAAGTACCGCATTTAGTTTTAGGCAGTGAGAAAAAGGGATCCTCACTGAGGGTCCTAAAAAACAAGCAAAAACGATAGCCAACCGGAAGTAACATACTCCCTCCCGGAAGTTCGGCAATTATTTGTTTTTGTTTCCGTTCACACACCCTGCTTCCAGTCATCGATGGTTTTCTCAGGGTTCGTGCAATAAAGTTTGGTATGACGAGGAGAAGAGCGCTATCCACTGTGAACGTCTTGCAACTTTGGGAAATGCAATCACGAAATCCGCAAAAGTCCGATTGCATATTAGCTTCTGCTTCTCAGCGCACTGACAAGTACGTTGGGGCAGTGCAATGTAAAAAATGTTTGTAATATAACATGAAATATCCGCAAAATTTTGGTGAAAATAAGGAAACGGTTCTGTTAGCTTAAAATACAAATAGATTTTTTGGTTAAAAAACAGGACTTAGATTATTGGTCAATAACACAATTGTTAAGTAAATAAATAGGCTAAAATACTTGTATCATAGGTAATAAAGCACAGTTTTATTACACTAAAACACGTTGTTTTTCCTTAAATAAACACTCTGCAAAATGTTCCGTTATCTGTAAGAAAGCAGAGCTTCTGTTACTCCCACATCCCAAACATTCTTGGTGAATAAACAGGGCACACCAAGTCACATGACTGTAACAATACAGAACTTTCCCCATTCCTGCAAAACGGATGATTATTTATTAAGTGGACGAAGTCATAGCTAAAATACATTGTTTTATAAAGGAGTGCTTGTTCGGAAAATAGCAATAAATGGTATAGTACTAGCGGGTTCGAATGAAATGAAAACAGCAGAGAGCGTGGCCGTCGACACATGCTGCGCCTCCTAAAAACCACTAAAGACTGAAAAAAAAAAAAAAAAAAACTGCGAGTTGTTGAGTCGGGTGCTACGAAGGTGTGTTGGTCCTAATCTGATCTGTTTGACCCCTCGACCAGCACAACCCAATCATCCACGCTGTGCCGGTGAGGCGCTGGAAATTCCGTCACAGTAACTTTGTTGGCTCAATACGAGCCACGCGAGGAAGCTCGCCGCTCGCAGTATGAACAGGCTGTTTGCACGCGCGCCTTGCACGCGCGTCCATGAACCATGACCGCAGCGTCACGATTCATTCTAACTTGTGCAGTATTTTTGCTTAAGTACGCATTTTTTTAATAGGTATTTTTCAATGCGCACTATTTTGCAGGAGCCATGCCCTCTCTGTTGTTTACGAGGACATCTACGTGGTTCCGGTACCTGACGTCAATCAAGCTCCTAGGGTCTTCCGTGCACGAACGAACTGCTAACTTCAATTTCAGGCTCCTGACACACGAGGTGATCATTTAATAGGCGCGCTGAATTAGATCCTGGCTGCCTGCAAAATGGGACTTTTCAATGAGGACTTCTTGCAAACCGTTACCATGTTCCGCGTACCGCACTACCGGAGTCTTTGAAACACGATTTTAAGCGCACGCCTGGGTGATACCGCGACCACGGTACGCGCGCTTAAAAGCATGCTTTAAAAGTTCTGGTAGTGCCGTACGGGGGACAAGGTAGCGGTTTGCTAAAAGTTCCCAATTATACGCTCTAAGAAATGCCTGCGTGTCTACTTACCTGCAAAGCACTCAAAGAGTCAATTTCTGCGACCTACGAACTCAGCTCAGCGAATGATGAGGCGGAACATCCGTTTAGACCTTAAAATGATGTCTGCGATGTGGCATTACGCAGTGTAGAGCTTCATGCTTGCATGAAGCTTTACACAGCGCAGACTTAATTTTGAGGTTTAAACAGATGCTCCGCCTCATCATTCGGTGAGCTGGATTCGTAGATCG